AAGCCACAGACATCTTGCACAGCAACATGGTTTTGCCGGTTCATCTCTCAGGGCAAGGGAAACAAAGAAAAAAAAAGAATGAATGGATCTCCATCAAACTAAAAAGCTTCAGCAGAGCAAAAGTAAACATGGGCAAATGAAGGGGAACTCACTGTATGGGAGAAAATACTCACTAATGATACATCTGGTAAGGGATTACTTTCTAAAATCTATAAAGAAATTGACATTAGAAAGACAAACAATCCAATTAAAAACAGGCAAACAGCACAGCTGGACAGTTTTCCAGAGGACATACAGATTGCTCATACACAGATACAAAGTGCTCAACATCACCCCTCATCAGAAAGATGCAAATTAAAAGTACAATGTAGTATCACCTCATACCTGCTAGAAAGGCTGTCTTCAATAAATCAACAAATATTCCTGTTGAGGATGTGACAGAAGGGAACTCTTAACTAGAGTTGGTGGGAATGAAGACTGGCACAGCCACTGTGGAGATCTATGTGGGGTTTCCTCAAAAAATTAAACATGGAGCTGCCTTTTGACCAAGTGAGCCCACTTCTGGGAATATAGCCCAAGAATCCCAAAACGCCAATCGGAAAGAATATTTGCAAGTCTGTGTCCATTGCAGCATTATTTGCAATAGCCAAGACCTGGAAACAGCCCAAGTGCCCATCAGTAGACGAGTGGATAAAAAGCTGTGGTGAGTTCGCACAATGGAACACTGCATGGCTGGATACAAGAAGGAACTCTTACCCTATGGGATGGCATGGATAAACCTGCAGGTTTTTCTGCTCAGCAAAACAAGCCAGCCAGAGAAGCACAAATACCACACAATTTCACTCTTGTGGAAATTAATGAGCAACAACAACAAACACAAAACAAGACTGACGGATGAAGTAGAATTAGGTTTTCTCAAGATGGCTCTGGAGTAGGTGGATCTTGTGTCCCCCTCCCCATCGCAGAACCAAACTAGAGTTTTTAACAAAATTGGGTAAAAATCACCCTGAACGAGCACCTGAAGAGTGACTGAAGAGGGGATTTCTAACCAAGGGGCTGTGAAAGAAGCCTGATGGAGAATGACAGGACAGGTGGAGATGGGACAGGCCCCAGCCCGCTTCCAAGGGCAGCAGCTGTAGACTGGACTGTATTTCAGCTCCGGGGTATTCCCCTTGCGAGGCGTAGGGCCTGCGCCCCAGACCCAGCATTCAGACCACAGCAGTAGAGCCAGGAAGAGACACCCACGTGGCATCAGGTGGTGACAGGGTTTTTTTCTGTCTGTCAAGGGGAGGTGTGGTTGCTGGAGGCACCGTCGTTATCTCAATAGTAGACACGCAAAACTGGGTTGGCTGCCACTTACCCTGGGCTCCAGGAGGGGAGGGCGGGGTGCACTGCAGTCGCCTGGGGAGCATCTGGAACTTGTGGCTCTGGGGAGAGACTCGGGGAACAGCTGTCCGGCCCCGGTGCTGAGTCTGTCTCCAGCAGCAGAGCTTTTCTGAGCAGAGCAAGCGGGTCCTCTCAGCGTCTTCAGGAGGGAGGCTACGAACCTACACTTAGGAATTTTCTGGCCTCTGAAGAGGAGTCAGTGATGCAGGTCTCTGCGCAGCCTTCTGAAAAGACTCACTCAAGGGTTTACAGGAACAAGTATAAAGGACACATGGATAAAAACTAGGGGTGGGTGGAAATGGGAGGGAGGAAGGGAGGGCTGGGTGGGTGGGTTGAAATGGGGGTAAGATAGAAAATTGTACTGCAACAACAATTAAAATAAAAAAAAAGACTCACGGTGGCAGGGTGGAGGGTGGGGGTTAGTGACCTGCTGTGGGGAGAGGCCATCCCCCCACTTTCCTGTGGACCTGAGGGCTCTTAGTGGAGATCCCCTAGAGAGACCCTCCTGACTTCTGGCAGACCCAACCTCTGGGCCCTGAAGGCCTCACCTGCCTGAATACTAGGGGCTCTGCGCTGTAGAGGTCAGGGCAGAATCCAGCACAGACACAGCGGCTCCGGGGCGCGGCCACACCCTCCAGCTTCCCTGAACCTTGAAAAGCTCCGCCCTCTCACCTGTAGCTCCATCCTCTGGATTCCGCCAGGGGCTCTCTCAGTGAGGAAGCCCAGCAGGCAGCTGGTGCCCTGAGGGAGGCAGATGGGGGCAGATACCAGAGACACTTGGGAGGGTGCTGGTCTGCGCTGGAAAAGGCCGGCTTTGGAGAGCATCGTGGACATTTCCTGCCCCAGCCGGGTCCCGGCGAGGGCGGCCAGGAACGGAGATCACTTGTGTCTTCAAGCAGGTTGTGGAGGGCAAAGCACGGATAGCACGTCTGACACTGTCCCAGCGTAGAGTCTGCTGGAGACGGAGAACCGTCAGGCCGAGGGGTCAGCGCATCAGACTGTGAGGGAGCAGGAGCCTGCAACTTCATCCCAGCACATCCAGTGGGAGAGTGCACTGGAGAATTTCCTCTCTTTCTTTATTTTTTTTTTTTATTTTTAGGTTTTTTTTTATGTTTTGCTTCTTTAATTTCAATTTTTAACATCTTCATCTTTTCTGTTTTTTCTCTTTTGTTTTTTTTTCTTTGGTTATTCTTTTTAGTTTTTTTCCTTGTTTTTCTTTCTGGGTTTTTATTCTTTTTTCCTTTTTAATTTTTTTTTAAAAATTTACTATTTAAATTTTTTAAATTTTAATTGTTGTTCAAGTACAATTTTCTGCCTTTTACTCTCATCCCAGCCCACCCTTTTTTAATTCTTTATTTTATTTTTATATACAGGTCTATATATGGTAACAATACATTTGTTACCACATGTAGTTTTTCTTTTCTCTGTTTCCTTTTTTTTTAATTGTGTACATTGTGATCAGAACCCACACAACAGCCAGCATGCAGTAATTGCACTGCCAGCCAGAGGGCTCCCCAAACCCAAACAAGACAGGTTTCATAGAGCACCCAGCTCTGAAGGTCAGGGAGACTGAATCCCACACAGGGATTACTGAGTCCCACACAGTCACCTCTGACTCAGAGAAATCCACTCCACAAAGACTGGGAGTCCTAGCAGATCTATGTAATGCAAAAAACAAAACAAAACAAAACAAACAAAACACAAAACACAGAGACAGCCAAAACAGGGAGAAAAAGAAATGCCAGCTCTTGTTTGTTGATTTACTGATGGTAGCCATTCCCACAGGTGTGAGGTGATACCTCATTACAGTTTTAATTTGCATCTCTCTGATTCCTAATATATTGGCATCAAATAATTCTCAGGGTTCTGCTCTGATCTCTTTCAAGCATGTACGAGGTGTCTTGCTGTCTGCCATTCACCTTCAATATAGAACTGTGTGCGTTCTTCCATATTGTCTTGGTCTTTGAAGCTGAGATTGTTTTATTGGGATTCTATTACAGCTGTCCCAATTTTTCCTCCTTTGCCCTCTTCTCCCCATCCCACCCCCTGTTCCCACAGTGTGGTTCATGTTTTCAAAACTGAAGTTTTGACTTTGTCTCTTCCTCTCTGTGTTTGTCCTCAATAGTAATTTCTGTCTTCATTATTTCCCTCCTTACACTTTCACTTACATAAATTTTCTGTTCTTTTACCATTATTTTGAGGAATTAAAACTATCATTTTTAAAAGATTTTTAAATTGTTATTCTATTTCATAAAACTCTCATTTTTATATTATTACTTTTTTTTTGCTCTAGGGTTTATTTTTTTTAAAGTAGACTTTATTGGGGTGACATTGGTTAATAACATTACATAGGTTTCAGGGGTTACAATTGTAAGTGCATCTTCTGTATATTGAATTGTGTGTTCCCCACCCCAAGTGAAGTCTCCTTCCATCACCACTTATCCCCCCTTTACTTTCTTCTGCATACTCCCCAACCCCCTCTCCCTCTTGTAATCACCATGCTGTGATCTCTATCTCTGAGTCATTTTTCTTTGCTTAATCCCTTTACCTTTTTCACCAGCCCCCATCCCCTCCCCTCTGACAGCTGTCAGCCTGTTTTCTATTTTGCATCCATGAGTCTGTTTCTATTTTGTTAGTTTATCTTGTTCATTAGATTCCACATATAAGCCAAATCATATGGTATTTATCTTTCTGTGACAGATGTGTTTCACCATGGAATACTACTCAGCCATAAAAATGCAGACATGTTTCCCTTGGTTACAGCATGGAAGGACCTGGAGGACACAAATTATTTTTCATTGAGTACTGTTATTAAAATGTAATGGACACTGCACCAACTTTCTATTTGTGAGTCTCATGATGTGCTCCCCACACTAAGTCCAGCAGCCACATGTCTTGTGCAAAGTCACCACTCATGATTGACTATGTTCCCCTGTCCATCCACCCCTCCACTGCTCCCCTCTGGCAACCATCATCTCTTCTTCGTGTCTACAGTTCTGCTTTTGTTTTGTTTGTTTTGATGATGTTAAACAGTCCACATAGAAATGAAATCTTTCTCTGTCTGAACTGTCACTCAGCACAATACCCTCTAGGTCCATCCAGGTTGTCACAAACAGAAGGACTGTTTCAATCACTTTTGATGGCAGATTTACACCCCATTCTGCATATGTGCCACATCGTTCATTCCAGTCATCTGTGGTTCTAACGATTCCAGCAATCTCTTTCTAAATTCTTGATATAATAGCTTAGGCCAGTAACTTTTAAAAAAGCTTTTATTTTCTAACATATTCATGGTGTTTACTTTTCTCATTTCACAGGATTGATGTGTAATATTGACACATGATCATTTAATCTAATGCATTCACTTATTTTTTGGTTCACATATCGAGGTATTCAGAAGTCCATTTGCTTTATTTCCAAAATGTGGGGACACTGGTTATCATTGAGTATAGGATCAGGGTACCCCTACAGGGCCCCAGGAGCTACTGGGGGTCCATATCAGGTCTCCAGTCTGACTGGGTCCACTAGCTGAGAATCCTTGGGGGCAGCTCCTGTACCTTCTGGGGTCCCTGCAGGCCCCCTCCCTGGAGTATGGGGTCCAGGTCCTTCCTGGGCTAGTGGACGGCCAGAGCAGCATACACACTGGGCTCATCGGGGGGGTCCTCTGATGGGGAGGAAGGGGGTGCACTTGTCTCCTGCCTGAGGGCCAAGTGGTTCAGGTAGGCGTAGGTCACATCCTGGGGGGCAGCAGAGGCAGAAGCCTGGAGCAGGGTGACAGTGAGAGGGGTGAAAGGTGGTTGGGGCTGGGGAAGCCTGTTCTCCCCCGTCTCCACCCATGCCACCCCCCTGCTCTTGCTTTTTCTCCTTCACAGCACTTGGTTCTCTAGGACACCATCTGCTTGTTTGCAGGTGTCTCCCTCATCCACAGGGGAGCTGGAGGAGGGTGGGGACAGGCAGCTCAGGGCTGCACTGGGGTACCAACATGGAGCTGGTAACCAGTGAGCTCCTGTCACTGCTGCTGCATGAGTGAGTGACAGGACCCTGGGACCTGTGGGTGGTTCACTTATTCATGCTTCCTCCTGAGACCTGGGGCTGCACAATTCAGATAGAGGGCAAGGGGCCAGCATAGGGGACCACCCAAGAGGGAGGAGACATGAGGTCACAAGAAAGTGGGAGGATTGAGGCACAGTAGGCTGACCTGGTGCCCAGAAGGAGAGGTCAGTGTGGACACTGCTGAGAACCAGGGGATGTAAGGACAGAGAAGTGACCACTGGAGTGAACTGGGGAACAAGAAGGTCCTTGGTGTCCTGGACAGCAGCAGGGGTCTCACCTGAGGGTCCAGCTCCATCCTCTCCCTGGGTTGTGGGTCCTTCATGGCAGCAACTGCTGGAGCAGAACAGGGAGCATCTCCTGTCATGGTCCTTGAAATCTGAGGGCTGCAGACCTGCCTGCTCCCAGATGGGCTACAAACCCAGGGGTGAGGTGAGGGGCCTCGTCACTCAGTGTGGATTTCAGTCTCTCTTACCCCTGACTCTACACCCTGTAGGCTATGCTCTCCCCCATCACCTTCTGAAATCCCTGAATCCCCTTCCCTTGGACAGCTGTCCCTTCCTCTCACAGAGGGGCTCTTCTTGAGTGTCCAAAGCTGGATTGGAGGACAGACAAGTATCAGTCCTGGAATCTTAGAATCCCCCTCTCTATGTGATTCCAGAGGAAAGGAGGAAACATTACCATGTGCTTGTGAATATTTTCATATGTTAGGAGATTGAAAATGATCAAAAATTAACTTACATTTATTTGTAAACCTGTGCTGACATTGAGTGTTTCCTTTCTAGAGTTTCTGATTGGAGATTTTTGAGAAATCTGTTTCTCAACTGACCTTCCCAACCTTCTCCATCTATTTGTTTTTTTCTGCAACAAGTGCTCTGAGCCCTCTGTCCTGTGGCCCAGCTCACCCAATGTCCTGCCTTTGTTCTCATGCTGGTGTCGGAAGAGGCAGAGGAGGAGGGAGAGCAGCAGAATGAGGATCACCCAAACCCCGATCAGCATGTTCCAGTACCATTGGAGACCTAGGGCAGGAGTGATGTTATGAAGGAGCAAACATGCGCTTTCATGAGCACCTACTGTGTGTGAGGCATGTGCTGGGGTCTGTCGTTCATCTCTTCAAACTTCACAGCCCTTGTGCACCAGGGATGGCTGACCCACCACCCAGTCCACTGCAGCTCAGAGAGGTTAGCCACCTGGTCCAGGTGACCCAGTCTGGCCAGGGCATGGCTGGGCCTGGACCGTGGGACCTGGCTTCCCTGTGTTGTCCTCTTGCTGCCCCCAGGTGGTCACCATCTCCAAGCCATGGGCTCCTCACCAGTAGGGGGCCTGTCCTGTCTCACCTGGAGCTGAGGGTCCTTCATTAGTACCTGTGCCATAGCACAGCAGGGATGTGGTAGGGGCAGGGAGATGGTATGAACCCTGATGCCCACTTGGGAAGGTTGGGGTCTCTGGGGACTCTGCCTTCTAAGCTCTGCGAGAGCTTTGTATTACCTAATGTCACCTCAGGCCTGTGAGCAGGAGGGCATCAGGGGACATACATGAACCCAACACTCAGAGAAGAGAAGGGATCACCCAGCCCCACAGTGGGAACAGCAGACTGGGACCTGGACTAGGACCCACTGCCTCCCCACAAAAACCCTCACCACTCTGTTGGCCTTTCTCTGAATTGTGCAGGGGCCAATACTCAGAGTCTTCTGGAAATTCAGGATGGGAGTGAGGGGTAGGGGCTGCCTTCTCCCCACTTGGTTCGGCTGTTCCTCCCACAGCCTGGACCCATCATGTCCTTCTGCCATGCCTACCCCTCCTGTCACCTGCCAGCCTCAGAGCCCTGGGGACCCTGTGGTTCCAGCATCTCTGCCTGACTCCTAGCCCCTGGGGCACAAGCCCATCCCTGAATGTATGGATGGATGCTCAGAACTTCCCTGGGTTGCTCTGTGCTCCCTCTGAGTAGAGTTCTCAGGGACTCACCAGCTTTGGGGATGGGCCCTGTGGGTGAGGGGCGGAGTCCTCCAGAGTGTTCTGAGAATGAGGACAGAAGTGGGTGAGGGTCGGCACTGACCCTGGGGTCAGCATATAACCCAGACTCTTCTGCTACATCTCCTCTGTGGACTCTAAGACACTCCCTCTGCCTATCACCTCGTGAATTGAGGTGATATGGAAGGGCAAGCAGTGGTAGCAGGGTCTCTGAGGGGCAGATCTCTGCTGGGCCACCATCCTTAGAGCCCTCTCCCTCCCCTTTCAGCCCATATTCCTCTGGGGACCAGGACCTGAGCTAACAGCTCAGAAAGTCAGGGTCAGGGGTCCCTTACCTGAGACCAGAAGCTCCAGGGGGGCACTGGGCTGTGACAACAGGTAGGGGCTGCTGTGGTTTGCACTGTAGCACCTGTAGGTACCCCCATGGGCTGAGGTCACAGGACCCATGGAGAACTCTGCCTGGTGCTGCTGAGCTGGGGACTGTGATCTGAGACGCAGGGGAAGATCGGCTCCCCCTTCCTTGGTCAGAAAGAAAGTGTCCCTCGGGCTCTGTGACTGACACAGCAGGGTCACGTTCTCTCCTGAGGTCACTCTGGGGCCTGGCTGCACAGTGAGGAAGGGTCTGTCAGGGAGCCATCCTAGAGAGAGGTGGGTGGGTGAGGGGCTGCTGCCTACTAGTTGTGACCTGAGAGTCACCAGATCCCTTTCTAGGACCCTCATTGCTGCCTGTCTCTGTTTTCTCCAAGTCTCCCCTTCCCTTTCCCCCCATCCATTCTCTGTGTCTCTTTCCCTCCCTGTGGATCCCACACTCCTTGTCCTGGCCTGCACCACCTGTGACCCTCAGCAGGGCATGAGCAGATTCCAGGTCCCTGACTGAACCTGCTGGCTCCTCACCTGCCACCAGGATGTCCAGGGGGTCACTGGGGGCTGACCACTCAGAGTAGAGCCTGTGTCCACCATAGCACCTGTACTGGCCTCCATGGGAGCTGCTAACAGTGCCCACGGGGAAGTCGGCCTGAGAGAGCCCAGCCTGGGGCTGCAGGACAGTGATCTGGGGGAGGTCCTGTCCCCCCTCCTTGGACAGAGCAAATCTGTCATAGCCGAGGTCAGAGAGACACTGGAGGGTCAGGTTCTGTCCAGAGGCCACAATGTGGCCCTGCTGGGTCAGGAGGGAGGGCTTTCCTGAGCCACCTGCAGGGACCAGACAGGAGTGACAGGGCTGCTCCTCCCATGCACCCTCCTCCTGGTCTAGCCCCCAGGCCCCACTGTCTCTCTCTGTCTGTGTCTCTGACCCAGGAGCCCCTGTGCTCCCCTCATCCCACCTCACACGTGGGGCCCCCCTCCCTGCAAAGACCCCAGTAACCTCTCTGGTGCCTCAATACTTGGATGGGACCAGGATGGGACTTACCTGAGACCAGGAGCTCCAGGGGGTCACTGGGGTGAGACCACTCCTGGGGGTACTTCCTAAAATATCCATAGCATCTGAATGTCCACCTGTGGTTGGGGATCACAGGGCCCACAGGGAACAGGGCCTGGACCTGCCCACTGGGATGGTGCTGTGAGTCCAGAGTCTGGGAGAGCCTGTCTTCTCCTTCCTTAGTCAGAATGAACCTGTCAAACTTCTTCCACGAGCCACACTGGAGGGTCACAGTCCCTCCTGAGGTCACAACAGGGCTGGGCAGGGCTGAGAGGCTGGGTTTGTAGTAGATTCCTAGGAGAGAAGGAGGCAGCATGTTAAATGGGGCTTCCACCTCCCTCATCTCCCCCAAGGCTGGGTGGTGAGGGGAGACCCCCTGAGAGTATCCCCCTTCCTGAGGGCAGAGCCTGAGGCTGGGACCCCTAGTGCCCTCTCACCTGTTGCCACCAGCTCCAGGGTATCACTGGGCTCTGACCAGCCAGTGGGGCTGAGGTATTTACAATGATATCTTCCTGCAATGATTTGTTCTCTGAAGAACTTGGCTTTGTCCCTGGGTTCCAGTGTTTTCTGTGTGTCAAAAGGTGTATTCATTTCTTCATTATACAGATGATACTCCTGGGCCTTCCTGGTCCCCTGACACCAGATGGTCACAGATTTCCTTGAAGGGACCATAGAGCCTGGCTCAGCCCATATGGTGGGCTTGAGGACGTTCCCTGGAAGAATCAGACTGTGTTTGAATGGATTTCCCCACCGCTCCTTCCTAGCTCAGCCCACGTCTCTCCTGTTATATCCCCTCATCCCAGGACTTCATGCCCCCTCCTGAGCCTCAGGGTGAATTACAAGGTGGGACAGGGAGCCAGGGGAGAACTCACCTGCCTGCAGATGGGTTTTCTGGCCAAGACTCAGCCCTGGAAAAAAGTACTTGTCAGAGTTGCACTCGGGCGTCTGAGCTGATTCCCTTACCTCAGGGCCTCATCTGTTCCAACTGCCTGAGGCTGGTGTTACCCATAGACAAACCTTTGTACCTTCCCTGTCCCCTCCTGCTGCCCTGTCCCTATGTCCCACAACTGACCAAGGCAGAGAAGAGCAGGGAGGATGGACATGGTGCCGTCTGCTCTGAGTGCTCCCGCTCTGCAGGTGGGCAAGACCCTGGGCCTGGAGGACAGAGATGCACAGGATGTGGTGAGTCAGGGGCTGCAGCCACCCTTCTGGGTTCCCACCCCTGTGGACCCACAGCAAGGGGATGGCCCCGCCCTGGGCCTTGCCCTGGGTTTTTCCATGACGAGGGCTCAGGAAAACATGAGGCACTCAGGGGACTCTCAGCCCAGGTCTGAGGTCTCGTCTCAGTCCCAGGACCCTCTGGCTGGTCTGTGGTCCTGTCAGAGAGGGTGGGACCCAGGCTCTGGTCCTCTGTCCACCCTCTACAGGCTGATGCTAAATAGAACTCGCTACTCATTGTCTCAACCTCCCACAAACAGCACTTACTTGTTTACTGATCACCTAGTAAAGCCGAGTATTTGTGTCAGAACTAGAAATGCATCCATGAACCAGGAGACTGATTTTCTGTATCTCGAGAACTCTTCTTAGCAGAAAATGAGCTAAGTCTAAAGTGGAAATGCCTTTACTTACAAAGGAGAAATGAGAGAAAATATGAGAACACCTGGGACCATGACTAGACTGTGGTTGAGGGAACAACTGTTTTTCTTTTATCCTCATTGAAGAATATGTTTTGTTGATTTTATAGAGTGAGGAAGGGAGAGACAGACAGAAAGACATTGACGAGAGAAAGAAACATTGATTGCTTGCCTCTGCTACACACCTGGTCTGGGGATTGAACTCACAGCCTTTTGGTGTATGGGATGACACTGCAAGCCAGCAAGTCACCAGGGCCAGGGTTGAGGGAAGAGCTGTTAGATGAGGTGGAACCCTAGGAGGTGGGAGTGAGAATGCTCTTGAGAGGAAAGATTATCATAGGGAAATCTAGAGACAGAGACTGTCTGATAGCAGTAAGGGATGGAGAGGTGGTGGCTGGTCATGGGCTGGCTCTCCATCATAGAAAGACATTGGATTAAGTGTGTGAGGCAGAGGAGTATACAGGAATGAGCTGTTATAGTCACACTGAGGTATGAATCCCATATGTGCTGTGTGTTACAAAGTGACTAGGGCAGTGCAATGTGTGTAAATAACACATAATGTGAATGGTAATCCTGTGTGTCCAACAATAGATGAAAGGCTTCCATGGATTTTCCACACAATTCATGCACATATTTTAGCTGTCACAACACAGGTAGAGAAGAGACATGAGGAGAAGGAATCTCAGTGTTACCTGTAATCCTGTGTTTTGAGCTGGAAACTTGGGAAGGAATTTGCTAGTTCTATAGAACTCTAAGCTAGCAGATATGGAGGAGAACAGATATGGTCCATAGGAGATGGTGTAGTATGTGTCTGTGTGTGCAAGTGTGTATGTCTGTGAGTGTATATATGTGAATGTGTGCATTGAGGATAGGGTGAGTATGTGTGTTTGTGTATGAGTGTGTGTGACAGTGTGTATGTAGTGACTGAGTGTGTGTGAGTGAGTGTTGTAAGAGTGTGTGGGGATGTGTTTGTGCATTGTGAGTGCAAGTGACTGTGTATAGGTGTGTGTCAGTGAATGTGATTGTGTGTGTTCATGACTGTGTTCACAGGGAACTATACCAGCCTGGTTGGGGGAGGCAGAAGGGAGAGCTGTGGTTGGAAGGTCACATAGAGATGACCATGAGTAACTGTGACTTCAGAAGAAAGTCTCAATATACCCTAAACTCAGAGAGGAGAATGGAAGGCTTTTAGGCAGAAATGGACAGATTCTGAAAGAGAATTGTGAAGACTGGTGTGGAGGGTGAACAGAGGAAGAAAGTGAGGACTTAGAGCTCAGAACCTAGGCAGGTGTTGTTGTGACTGCTGCCTTGGGGACATGAAGGGTGATGTGCCTTCTCTGCCTCATTGATTGGAGATCCCAAAGAGCCTTCATTAAGGTGACCTAAGGGGAGTGGCAGTGATGAGCCTGGGGTCTGTGCAAGCATTCTGCTCCCGCAGGAGAGCTCAGGGCTCCTTTCTGGCCCTGGAACACAGGGGCTGCATCTCACACTGTTTCCACCTGACTCTGTGTCTCTGTGAGACATGGGCTCTTTCTCTCTCCCTCTCCTTGGGGTGAATCATTGGGGCCATTTCTGCCTCCTCTGAGCATCTTTCAAGCTGGGAGTCACTCTCCTCTTCAACTGTGGAGACTCTTGAGGATTCAGAAAAAATTGACATTAAAGGAATACTGTTAGAGGCAGAAAAACACCCCCACACTTTAAATATGGGGTGCTGCAATACCACATCCTGAATGCCTGAGGGATCCTTGAACAGCCTGCTTCCTCTGTTGCTCTCACTTCCCTCATTCAGAGCCCAGTGAAACCAACCCCACCCCTATGAATGTGGAAGAATTCACCCTACTTGAGATATGGAGGAAAGGAAACCAGATATTCAGATTCACGTGGAGGCTTTGGAGGTTTGAGAAAATGAAAAGCAGACATGCCTCGTCCAATGGAGCAGAGGGAGGGATCAGACTCAGACCACAGTGCAGAGTCACTCGATCATGACAGAGACCCTCCCAGTGCAGTGGGCAGATCCTGGTCTTTCTGTCATGAGTGCTGGGCCAGCTGGGGGAGTCTGTGGAACAGGTGAACTTCACACTTGCTTCACCCCATACACAAAATTGAAGCTAGAATCATGACAGACTGGAGAGTAAGTCAATTACTTTTTCCTTAGCAAAAATATAGAAAATATCATTTTTTCTTTGTGTGATACTTTTTAAAAATCATTTTTTATTGTTATTCTATTACAGTTGTCCCAATTTTCCTCCTTTGCCTTCCTCTGGCCATCCCACCCCCTGGTCCCATACTCGATCTCCACACTGTTGTCCATGTCCACAGGCCATTCTTACGTGTTCTCTGACTAGTCCTTTCCCTTTTTTACCGTTATTATCCCTCTCCCCTCCCCCTCTGGTCACTGTCAGTCTGTTCCATGTTTCCATGACTGTGGTTCTGTTTTCTACATTAGTTTATTTTGTTCAATAGGTTCCTCTTATGTTTGAGATCACATGTATTTGTCTTTCACTGACTGGCTTATTGCTCTTAGCATAATATTCTCCAGTTCCAAGTATGCTGTTACAAACAGTAGGGTTTCCTTCTTTTTTTTCTGTTGCACAATGCTCCATTGTGTAAGTGTACCACAGTTTTTGATACAATAATTGACTGGTGGGCATTTATGCTGTTTGCAGCACGTGGCTATTGTAAATAGCCCTGCTATGAAATTAGGGGTGCATAATTTCTTTCGAATTAGTGATTTAGGATTCTTAGAGTATATGCCCATGGGAGAGTGGTGTGGGATGTGGGGGAGGAGGACAAAGGAGGAAAACTGGGTCAAGTGTAAGGGAATAACAATAAAAAATAAAGTTAAAAGCACACACACACATATACAAAGAAAGGTCAGACAAGAGACACATCTCCATGGGCTCCAGATGGGTGGAGCTGTCCATGACCCAGTGCTGAATTCTCCACCTCCTCTTGGGATTCACATACAAAATAGGACAGAATCAGGGGAGATGCAGGTGGCTCATGGTTTTGAGGAAAGCCTTCTAGAAAAGGTGTACATTCCTGGCCAAGGCTGGACTCTGTCTTGGTCAACAGGACCTCTGGACAGTGGATGAGCTGTCCTGTCTTGCAGATTCTGTAATGGCTATTGCGAATTTACTTTGCTGTATCAGGTTTGTTCTGTTCTTACATTGGGAAAAGGGGTAAAGTCCCAGTGGATATTTTTACAGCAGAACTTTTGATGGTTTGCTTTTCAGTTGTTAAAGTGAAGCTCAAGAGACAACGTGACAGGATGTGAGGGTCAGGGTCCCCACACCACAGCATGTACTGGGCACAAGGTGCCTGTCACACAGGAAGAGGACCAGCTCTTCTCACGCTAAAAATAGCAGGTGCTGAGGGACTGACCTGAGTCACATCACTCAACACCCTTCATGTCTAAAGTGTCACATTTAATTTTGCTGAATTCTACAATCATAGGAAGATTTTAACTCCTCTTTCTGTTATTGGAAAAGTATAACAATTCTTCAGTTTATAATTGCCACGGTCCAGCCGCAGCTAGGTCCAGGGTTTCCTGAAAGGTGGGTAAGGCGTTGGTGGTGGGAGACAGACGACAACACGCCTCAGAGGACAGTGATGCTCTGTTCCATTTATTGCAAGTACAAGCAGGTTTTTATACTTTCATTTTTAGCAGTGATTGACATTTGCGATTAGGTAAAGCAGAAAAAAATTAATACAAAGGTAACCAGGAAAAGTACAAAAATTCCCGTAGATTCAGTTATGTTAAACAAAGATTATTTTAACCAGGAGAGCCATAAATCAGACAATTAGAAATAGCTGTACGTACAGAGTTTGAATATCTTATTGTTTATTAAAGTTCTCAGAATTTGTCATGGGGCAAAAGGATACGCTAAATTGAATAGAGGTTATAGGAAATTTATTATAAGGCCTTTGTGATGTCTAACTTACCTATTTACCTTTTCTGTCTAAAATATTTCTCTATGTACCATGGACTCTAACTCCCTGGTAACTGTTTCTACGTGCTTAATTTATAATAGTTAACCAGCTTTTCTTATTTCTTTGCCTGTCTAATTCTATTTGATATATACTCCTATTCAAGGTAAAGGCGGGGCTGTTACTCCAACATCTTTTAGACACTCAGGGGCTATTTCATTAGAGGAGATTTTATTCTTTGGTCAAGAAATTATTTTATACAACTTCATTGGAATTATGCAAATCAATAAACCTGAGATATAGATATCTAACAATCGCACCACCTTTTAATCTCCAAAACAAACAGGTAAGGAGAGATAAACAGGAAATTCAGCTACAATAAACCCTTTTTATTCCTTAATCAATAAACACCAGGGAGGTCTGCCTTGAGCTAGCCTTTCCATGAAATTTAGACTGTTATAAGGCACTTGGACTTCATCCTTATTGACCATTCTAATGCCACCCTCATTATATGCTCCTGTATAAGGCAATGGGAGATC